ATATATAATTATCATCATTTCATAATAATGAAATGCTAAAGAAGCTGAATGAATATGAAGGGGAAGTTTATGTTGGTGATTTCACACTTGCATAAAACAGTGACCTCACAGTGACTGTTTGCAGGTAAAAGTGTGTTTTGACTGATTTGTTAAGCTGTGACATACTTGCAGCTTCGATGAACCGGGGGTAGGCTTCGAATGAGATGACAGGAACTGGCAAATCCCTGAGGTACAGTTTCAGAGCGCTCGTGATGATATTGATGTCTTCATAGGCTCTCGCGGAGATGTCTGTCTTCTCACCATCTGTGGAGACATGAGAGAACCAAGAGGAAAACAAGAGGAAGAAAATGAGAATATGCACGCTGAAAAGGCCTCACATCACTACTTTCCCATCACCAGGTGAACTCAGGAGTAAAGAGATTGTGTTAAAGCAATGCAAAGAAAAAAATATATACTTTCTTTTCCTAGAGTATTAGCTATCATTCCCCTGGCCTGTTTAATTCTGACTTTTGCCCGTTTATGCATGCTTTCCAGAGGAGAGCGTGGCCTACTTGTGCTGGCAGACTGAACATCACAGCGCTGTGAGCTGGAATGACACTCTGTCATGGATGATCTCCTGCATGCAGATCTGGCTCTGCACTTCAGTCCACTGCTGTAGGGTGTTTTTTTCCTTCCAGTTAAAATTCATACCGCACTGGCCCAAGACAGGTTTATTCTCACTAAGTCAACTGCTGAATCCCAACACAGCCACGTTTAAGGCAGTGCATGGTGTGTAACCCCTCAGGTCTGTCCACACAGTTGAAATCCTTCATGAGACGGAGATGTCAGGATCTGCATCCCCCAGATGGACACTAATCCTCCACACAAATGCCTGTTTTACAATAATCTGAAAAGTTGGGCCTCTTGTGTGGACATACAGGTAATCTCTTTCATTTTCAGAGTTGACAGGAATCTATAAAACAAGCAAGACAAACCTTTATCGAAGCCCATCTTGACTTCTTCCACCGAATCACTAAATCCAGATATTCTGTAGAGGCCTTCTGACTTCAGTCCTACACGAGCAAACATGAAATAAACAACCATTCAGACATTGTACAAGCTGGTAATTTAGAAAATGATAAATTGTACGCATAAGAAATTAAGGATATGATGTCCACAATGTCAGGAAACAAGGAGAACAAGGGCCGATGCAAATAGTTTTCTGCATCACTGAGCAAAATAATAAAGACATAAATCAAACTTAGCTTCAGACAGACATTAGAGGGCAGACAATGAGGGAGCAACAACTTTGAGCTGAATGAKTTAACTGAAATGCAATCAGCTTAGGCAGCAGGAAACAGAGTAATGGATTCCTCATTATACATTTACAATTACCAGCACGCTCATCATTCCTCTCAGTCACCCCTCCAAAGGCAAAACATTAACTTAATCGGTAATTGAATCCAGTTTTTAACAACTAGAGTACATGCTGCAGATGAAAAGCAAGCTGTTTGAAAATAAGGTTTAAACTGTAAGCAGCTGCCTTACATTTGCTGAAAGAATTTATTATATTTGCTCAAAAAAAGAGAATTGGATGAGGCTCTGTGGAAGCAAAGACTCAAATGATTACAGTCTTTAGATGAAAATGTTTCCACTGACTGGTGTTTATCTTGGAGGACATTGTTCCTAAAATCATCTGCTAACAAACATCACACCCAAACTAACCTCTGGACTCGATCTCTCGTATGCACATGTCCACCACCATGGGTCGGGCTGTGTTATAGGCCTGCACCAGGGTGGTGAGGTCACAGCTGTACACCTTCCGCACGTGTCGCAGGTCCGGCTTGCAGTCGTTAGGCACCTGAGCTGAGCACTCTTTGTGAACATTCATACCACAATCTAAAGAGACACACACACACACACACACACACACACACACACACACACACACACACACACACACACACACACACACACACACACACACACACACACACACACACACACGGGTTAGTTCATCAGTGAAAGGCTTAAATCTGCCAACTAAAGTGAAGGTTACACATATTATCTACACAGACAGCAACTTTGTTTATTTGATTCAGTGGGAGATTTGATTGATCAACAGTAGCTCCTAAAAAGTCACAAAACTTTTAAGGCTGCTTATCTACACAACATCAGGGTCACCACAGAGCGATGATTCTAGATTAATTACTGCAAAACAAATAATAAAATGGAAATATAAACAAAAGGAAAGAGCATCTAACCACACGCAAAAACCTTTTTTTTAACATGGATAAAATGCTGTTTAATTTGGGATTAACTTGATATTTTTTTCATTAATTCAGTTTTGAGAAATTATGGTTTAATTCTGATCAAACTGCTTATTCTGAGCAGGGCCAAACACCAAATTACACATTAAAGCACTTAAAAAAGTGATCTATGTGTTTGTAATTTTGTAAACCTTTACAATATTTTGCATTCCATTGTTATTCTGTCAGAGATATTCTGACATCTCTGCCAATAATCCTCTGGTTGCACCAGAAGAGCAAAAACTAGCTGCTGCTACTATTTGTGTTTACAAATAATAACCAAAAGGTTTTCAATAACTAACTGTGTATTACTATTTAAATTATTCAGACCAGATATTAATATATAAATGTGTATATTTCCTTGACTGTAATAATTCAAAGAAATATCTACAACAAGTAAGATATTAACTGTTTGTAACTCTGCCACAGAACCCCACTTAAAAATTTAAGCCATCACTTTAAAATCAGAGTAGGTATAAGATTTTATTTAATTTTTTTCAGCGTTATGATCTGAGGCAAAGCTGTTCTTTTGTTTTAAGGATTTTCCTTGTCAGTAACAAACAGAGACCCATAACCGGGACGCTACAGGCCGTTAGTTTTAGAAGAACAGGAAAAAAAGCTGGTGCCCAGAGGAGGGACAGTGCTCTGCTGCTCGCTCTATTCTTTTCCAAATCCAAGCTCGCACACATTGTCTGCGGAAGGAGCAATTGAGAAGCTGCGGGCTACAGAAGACCTAGTTTCCCTGAATAAAATGGGGCGKCTCTTTAGCGCTTTTGTCTTCAAGTTCTGAAAGGTTTTTGTTTTCACAAATTCAATGGGGCCTGTGACTGCAAAAAGCCTCTGAAAAACCATATGATTCCTCTGAAAAGTGACTTTTTTTTCTATTTAAAATCAAACAAAATCTACCGTAGAAAGCTTTGGGAAGCTGGCTTCAGACCATGATTAATATGAGTCCCTGGAGAAATTCAGACAGCCTGAATTTATATGCATTGAGGCAGAAATGTAATTACCTTAAGAGATGGTTCTCTTAAAGACATGAGACAGGGATTATAATAATGACACGTCATCAGACACAAGCCTGCTGAGCCTCCCTGTTCATGTGTGGATGTTGATGGACCTGGGTCCCACGTGAGGAGAAGGCACCCAGGGGACAACAAGGGGGGAAACGGGAAGCTGCACTGCAACGGTAAATCTGACTCATGGCTCAGTTTTAAAGAATTCAGTGCTGGCTGGTTATCAGCAAGTCTATCTGATATCCTTTTTAATGGGTTCTTTCGTTTCAAGTATTTGGGTTAAAGAGGGGTTGAGTCGTGGTGACCCAGCTTTTTGGATGTAACTGGCTGAATTTTAATGTGTGGAAACAGGGCTTCCTCCTCACACTCCCAGCTCTGCACCTCATTACAGAGATATGCCAGCTTTGTTTTCCTTCACGGGCATGATGGGATGAGACTGGGTGGTGGGGTGGTTGGGGGGCGGGTTGTACTGTGATGAGGAAATGCGCCACAACAAGCACAAGCAGAGACTTCACTCTTTGGCACTCAACCAAAACCAGTTCACACATACAAAAAAAAAAGGGGGGGGGGGTGATGGGAGAACAGTTTTTGGTATGCAAATGTGGGAGTCATGAGAGACTTCAGTGCCCCAGATTCTTCTGGTTGAGGTTGAGTCTGAAGGAATGACGACATGTTTACAGCTGATAAAGATCGCCATATGTGCCTTTAAAGGAACTGTTGTCAGCTCACAATATCAAGACATTAATATTTAATCCCAGAGCTCCCAGAGATATATGTGGCACACTTTGTTGCATCAATAAAACATCAGAGATGCACTTCAGACTGTATTATAGTGCAGTGTGGCCTGATGGAAACAGGTTCGCACAAGAAGCACAGCCAAACAGGAATCTCATCTCAGTATTTGACAGAGATGCAAAATACACTGGAATCATTTTCCTTGTAAACAACGATGAGGCATATCTGTTGAGTTTAAAAGAATTATTCAGCAAGACTGAAAATGATAACTGTTCATGGGTGAATCGTTTGAAAATGTGCCCACACTAGGAGTCATAATCCATCAATGAAAATGAGCAGAGCTTTAAAATGCATCAGCCACATTTGGCTCATCGTGTTTTCTGGCCCAGTGTGCGACTAATCCATTAAGTCATCAAAGTGGAAACAGAGAAAGCTTTTGTTACTGTGATAATGACGATAAGAACATCTCTTTAAAAAACAAGAAAAACCTTAGAAAGTCATTCCTCTACGTGTATGACCCCTAAATTTCAACCCAAAAAGACCAAATGAGGCCAAACACAAGGTTTTTGCATTATATACATCACAATTTATTTAATTCTGTTGTACAATCCATAATCCTCAAACTACTGTTGAGATTTTGGATTAAAATTCAGTAATCCAGCTCCAGATGCACTGCAAACCACATAACCCAAATAATGTCATTTTCACTTTCATTTTTTTTTTGTTTTAAAAAGAACGAGACGAACCTGCACATTTGACCCCCTGAGCCATCAGTCCCCACATGAATCTGGCACAGTGTTCGCACCAGTGAGGCCCCCGAAAGGTATGGACCTAAAACAAGAAGGAGAACAGTGACGGATGTTAGTGGCAAACAGAGACCAGGCTGTTCCTGCAGATATTTACCTCATCCTTTTCTCTGCCACAGTGGAGGATGATCCATGTAACTGTATGTGTGTGGAGGACTAATGTGGGCCTTTGTCACGGTTGCACGGCAATTAAGCGAAGTTGCTGGGAGACTTTTCAATAGAAACACTGGAAAAAGGATGCTCCCACACTCCAGCGGATAACAACAGTGCAGCCAATCAGAGAGGTCCCTGAACTGAGCAAACCAAAGCTCTGCATGTTTTTTTGCTGTAAGTTAATAAAAGCTGCAAATGCAAAAATATATATGATTAGACTATTTATTATAAATGATTATGTTAATCCAATCAGGGAAGATGGATTACAATGGTTGAATTCCACTGTTCTCATGGCAGTGTACATGGAAGATATAATGCTACACACTTTTTTTGTCCAATAAAAGCATCTTTTATAAATTGAATACACACAGGAAAAAAAATGCACAGTGGTTGCAGAAACAATGGGAAAGTGGGAAATGCAAGAATCAGCAAAAACAAAAGCCCACGGCATCAGAGAGAAAGTGGAAAACATCAGCATTTTCAGAGAAATTTCTCTTCATCCCATTAAACAGCCAAACAGGAGCCAAACACTCCTCTACTGTTTCTCCAGTAATCTCCCCATCTGGTGCTCCGACGACCAGCAGTGCTCCACAGATTTTCTTTTGATAAAGCCTCATTGGGCAGTCCAAAAACAGCACTGTTCTTCACCCCCTCTCTTGTCCCCCCCAGAAACACCCCCTCCCTCTGTTTTCATCTCCCACACTGGGGGAGAAGAGAAGCAGCCCTGTGGCCACATGCGATGACATTACCCCTCAGTTTTATTAAAAGCTCACAAGAATTCCTCAAGTTGATCCAGCCTTACCTTGAAGTTGTGGACTTTTTCCGATCTGGGGATCCTGTCGCTCTCCTTCAGAGTGGCTCGTCGGACCAGTGAGGTGAGCTGCGAGTAGGCTAATAGTTTCAGTGGTTGCCAGAAAGTGGCTGAGGAGGGTTTCTGTGGCCCCAYTCTCATCCCCAGAGCTGCTGAGAGAATGTCCTCCTGATTGGCCTCCCGTTTGGCCTTTTGCACCAAAGGCTTCTCTTTCTTCTGAGCATCGAAGGACTCTTTGGATGGCATCCTGGAAATTCCGTTCCCCAAAAAATAACAAAAAATAATTGCAGAAGTTTCCCTCTAAAACAAAACAAAAAAATAATTCAAGGGAAACCCCTTGTTCAAAGCAAGTAGATGTCAAACAGTTGCATTGCCCCGTTTGACATTGCTTAGAACAAATTTAAATTATTCAGCAAAGCCTGCCAATAATTCAAAAGTCCCTGATTTGTAAAAATGACAAAAACAACCAAACTCCTGCTCCTGAATCTTCTCCCTGCAGTGACAGCAGATGAAGTGAAGCCTGCTGATTGGAGTGCCAGGTTTTATACAAAGGAGGTTCAGCCTTGGATGCTCATGTGGTTCTCTGGGAACGTAAATGCAGATGAGATGAGTGGTGGAGCTAATCCTCTCCTCCCTGTGCAAGGCTGATAGTCTCCCTGGAACAGAGGCAGCACACTGTTTGTGGGTGGATGCAGACACAGGGGGAGGAGGAAGGAGGATGGAGGATGGAGGTGGACCCTCTAGTAGAGGCAGCAGATTAAATGGATCCCACCAGCCAATCACGGCAGGGTTACGCCGCAGCTTTGTAGTGGCCTCCTTCCCGCCCCCCACACACAACCGTCAGACGTCCTACACCAGACGGGAGCCCGGGCGTACAGGATGATGAAATGAGAGTGGGATGATAATGAGCAATGAATGAGTCATGCAGCCAGAGTGGGCTCCTGCCTGGAGAACTTGCGACAGCAGTGGGCCGTTGGAGCTATTTTCAAAATCACGTTGCCACAGAAACCAGTGACGACTGGAGCTGCAAGAATACAAAAGGCTGGAGGCATCAGAGCGTGCACAGKAAACACACTGGAAGATGTCATCAAAAAGTGATGCAAATGGAACTTTGATTCAGAAAAATTTGAACTAAAATGAGTCGATAACTTTTCTCGGAAGAACAAACAAAAAGATAACTGTATTTGATATTATTGTACTTGTTTAATGTTGCTTAAACACCCCAAAGTGTTAATGAATACAGTTTGAGCTTTAYAAAAAAGGCAAAGCAGAATAATGTTTATTACAACTAAAAGCTCATTCTACCCTCTTCTGTTTGATAAAACGTGCAATAAAGAATCAAACGTCTGCAACATGCAGGCAATCTGCCGGCTGCCKGCTTTTCTTTCTTTGCCATGTCTTTGTCTGGATGTTCATTTCCTTGAGGTATACACTGATGTAAGCCTTTGTGTTGCCTGCATGCAAATGAAGTCTCAAACATTACATTGTGATCACAATGTGAGAGGAAGAATTTTTTAAACCCCGCTCGCTGTTTTTCGCACTCCAAGCCAAATGTGATTATGCTCCCACGTCTCAGAGTCTAAATTCAGACCCTGTTGACACTTCTTGACTTTTTTTTTTCCAGCAGAGGAGGAAGTGACTGTGGTGAAATCGATGGCTGTTTTGACTCTTGCTCCCGTGTCTTTGGAGAGGCATCAGAATCCGTCAGAGCAGCAGAGGAGCTTTGAAGATCAGAGTGATTATGTAGAGTGGTGTCCCAAACTGTGCTTCCTGACACGGACAGGTTTGAAACATGAAAGACATGAGTCTGAGTGCTTCCAGCGAAGCTACTGTCTCTCATCCTCACTGGAAGTCTCTGCTCAAGAGGCCACCTGAGAGAAAACCCAGTAAGAGCCTTTTATGTGCATCAGTTCATCCTCTCAGACCTGGAGCCATTTCGAGGGCTTTGCAGCGTAATTGTGTTGCCTGCTGCTGACTGTTTCCCTCCCAGTGTGTGGTTCACTTTGACTGCAGCTCTAATTGACACTGATTGATTTTCTTGTTTTCCAAACATGTCCAGAGATGGGACCCCTGAGGACAGATGCATGGGATGTGGTATCTTTCACATCTTTGAAAAGGTCCATCAGTGGCCAGCCTGGACCAGCTCGTCCACATTTAGGATTTAAACAATAACCCAGTTCATCACCAGTCTGGTTTAATTCTGACTTGACCCCCTTAAAACCCCCAACAAAGTTAACAAATTCTCATTTTTTAAACTTAATTTTCCCCCTTTTCCCTCCCAATCTCTTCTAATCCATTAAGCTGCTGAGTTGGGTCAATGCTGTTACATAAGGAAATGTTCCTCTTATGCACTGCTGACCCAAAACGGCATAAAGACCCATTTGCTCTGTTCATCTGAATGTGAACTTTGACGGTCATGATTTCTGTTGGAGACACTCACGTAACAGTCTTTGTTTGGCATAAACAAAGAACAGCAACTATAATCCACCTTCATTTTCAGCCAAAGCTGTCAAGAGAACAAAATAACACCAAAGGCATCAAAATAATATAAAACTAGGCTAATCTACTTATCTAACAGGTCATAACTTCTTGTTACATAAACTGCTTGTAATGATAAATCTGACTGACTGAACATGAAGTACAGTGTTTGATTTGATTTGATTTGATTTGTTGACTCAACAGGAAAAGATTACTAAAAATCAAGCCTGACTCAGCATTATTGCTGTTTTACAGCAGGTTCCTGTTCTGCAGCACATAAAACACTCAGAAATACAGCATCACAATCACATCAGTATACGCCATAGACACAAAGACAAACAAGTATACCAAATTTCAGGAAGGCAGCATTTGCAAAATAGGACGTCTAAATATGAGCACAACAAAAAGTGTCCAGCAGATGGCAGACAAGATTCTTCTTAAAGGGCTGTAGTTTTGAAATGRACTTTGTTTTGAGGAATGTCATTCCATGCTTTAGTATAAACATAGAAGAAAGACCTCTGGCCGTAACAGTTTTTAAAAGTTGGTAATATCAGTTGTCCTTTTGTAACAGATCTAGTTGAATGACCACTTCCAGAATTTGATTTGGGCTTTGGGATTTGGGTTTGATTGGGATGTTTGCATACTGAAGGTTCTAAGCTCTGCTATATTCTGTTTAAAGGGGCAATATCATGTAAAATCAACCTTTTTGAGTTTTATGTCATGTTATAATGTTATACTTTCATAAAAACATGCCCAAAGCCTTGCTTTGACTCATTCATGCATGTTTGAGAAATCCTGCAGCGTTTTTAGGAAGCCATGCTGAGGAGAGCAAAATGACAGGTGGGGACCAGAAATGCCTTTTGGAACCAGAAACGCCGCTGGGACGTGTCTTTAAGCCAAACTTCCTCATGGCAGAGCACACCCCCTCCCACCTTCCCTCCCCACACACCCYGCCCACGACTCCTGTAGGCTCTCAGTTGAAACTGAAAGTGAAAGTGAAACTGTCTGCTGAGCTCCTAACACTTCTCACTCAGTGAAGCTCTTTTCAGATTAAAAATACCTTTGAGGAAATGTATTTTCAGATGCCAAGTAAACTGCATCATAGCAGCCCCCCTCCCGCACACGAACCCCCACCCCCCCACTGAAATGTACAGGACAGAAGCAGAAGGAGGTTCTTAAAGAGACAGAGGCCAGTTTCAAGGCGTTTAGAAGATGAAGTGACGAGAAGATAAGTTTATTTTCCATTTTAACATAAAACAGCATTTTGATAACAGCTAAATGTGGCACAAATACTTTATTATGGTAAAGTATTGAAATTTATGCCTCAGAAACACATAATATTGSCCCTTTAACATGGAATCATGACACGTAGAATTTGAAGAAACTGATGTTAAATTAGTTCTTGGTGAGYCTTTTAACTGCTTAAAGTTTTAATATAAAATTAAAAGAATGAACACAGCCGTTCTCTACAAACATGTCATTGATTGGCACGCTTATATTTCTGTTTRTCTTTTGAGGTGCCAAAGAAATGCATCAAGTTTGAGATTAGAGGTCTGAAATCACTTTTACAAAGTTGTTTGATCATAAAAAYATTGTTTTGTTTCATAGTCAGTGTTAGAAATTTATGAAAATAAATGTTAAATACTATCCGAACACTAAGCAGCATGGATTTATTCATGCACTTATCTGGCACTCTGAAATGTTAAAGTAAGAGAAAGGAGATTTTTCTAACAGCAAACACATTTGCTGGTAGTTTCTATCTCACTCTGTTTTAGCAAACAGCAGATAACACGGATTTACATTGAGGTCCAGAATAAGAATGCAAAGAGCTAAATAACTGCATTTAAATGGAAAACAATCTCAGAAAATGTTTKAGGACTTTACAGTGGTGGTGCATAGTTTTACAGAACAGGGACAATTGAAATGTGCATCCAAAATACCTTTGTTTACATCCTCAACATAAAATTAAATATGGAATATGAATAAATAAACAGCAGAACATAAGTTGTTCATTTTGAAAATTGATATGGACTCTATAGGCAAAATCACAACTATTTAAGGAAAATAAATGTCAATATTTGCATAGAAATGGAACCTGTTTCTGTTGGTTGACTCAGAAT